TCTTTTCTCACCGTACAATTTGTGGATGTTTTAGGTGAGGAAGATCCGGCTTCAAGTGGCATCTAGGATGCCAACAGTTGAATTGTGAGTGTGCTCTGATATTGTGACATCGGGGTAGAAAATTATAGGATATAAATTTTTATATGTATTCTGAGTTATACCTTGTCTTTTGAAAACAATTTGTAAACTCTTAAATTTTACCTTCCAAGTTTTATTTCTAGTTATTTTGGATATTGAAGAAAGAATAGTTATGAAGTTTTATGTGAACCCTTTTACCAACTTTGAAAATTTATTTTTCTTAATTTAATTACATTATTACGATGTATGTGTTGGGGGTAGTAAGGATGTCACACTTAACATGAACAACAATCATTATATCTCAATATTTAAGTAACTAATGGGCTAAACAATAAAAGATTACAACTTGAGGAATCAATCAACAATTCCCTTACATCAACTACTTTTCAAAAGCAAGAAGAAGGAGAAAGAATGAACTCAAAACCCTCATAGTTCAACTTCTCCCTACAAATTCAAACTCTACAACTTGAATCTCAGCTTTTACAACTTAATATCTCAACTTTAGCAACTCAATCTCAACTTTAGGAGAATTTCTAGGTGCTCCTAGTGAAGTTAGAAGAAAAAACAATCTTCCTTGATTTCAAAGTTTATCTCTTTAAATTTTTTTTTAGAATTTAGAAAAATAAACTTATGAAGTCATATTCTCTGAAAACCTTATATACCTTCCCTTGTTTCTTGGTCAACTTTGACTTTAGTTCCAACATCTCTAAACAACTTAACTCTTAAAAATTTCTTAAATAGTTCTCTATAAAAGAAACAAAAAAATGGAGTAACTCAAACATCTCAAAGCAACACAGATCAACATACAACACATAAACACGCATAAAGCACAAACATGCAATGTTACATTGGTAATGGCATTCAATGGAAGACGTTGTCAAGTTAAGCTTTTCAAGCACAAACCCAAAATTTATTGAATCTCATGCTTGGAAGATGAAATGAACTATAGTAGAGAAACTACTTCGTTCTATGATGAGAACCTTCATTGCTTCCCTCTTTCTTGGTTACGTTACAACAAATGCCTTTGTTACATCGTTGTCACAAATGAGTTCATCCATTTGTTTTTCTTGCAACAGATCTTCAGCAACTACAAATTCAAAATCCATTTCTTTCTTGTGTTCTTCCACAAGGGGATCATTAAACTCTCTCCATGAGAGTGCTTTGAAACTACATCAAAATCTTAAGATGAGATAGTTTGAGAAAAAAAATACAAGTAGTACCAACATAATTTGGCCATACACCATAAGCTCAAAATAGAGAAGATGAGTACAATAGAAATGCATTATGAATTGATCTATAAAAGATATAAAAGAAAGAGTTTGAGAGCTATTTATAGAACCATTTAGAGAGGTGATTAACTACTAAGGAGTAATCCTCACAACTTAACTAACTAACAAATTTTCAACTAACTAATATTTTGTATAATTATTGTGTGAGAGATTCCACACTAATTAATTGTATGATATATATATTATACAAGTGAGAAATAATTTTTTTCTAATAAATCAATTTTGTGTGGCTAAATTTAGATTCAAACTTATATTCTAAAATATGGTATCAAAATATGCTAATAGTTATTAGCTCCGACGTTAATGGGATAATTTACGTCGGTCCCCCCTTTGTCCGATGTAAATTAGTTCCCATTATTTACCATTCTGCCACCGCGTTTTTATAACGTCGGTGGTGCGTTGTTCCAACGTCATTTGGGTGACGTAAAAGCCTCTTTTTACACTAGTGATTTGAGTAGTGAAAATGACTTACTAGTTGTTTGGTTACAAATGTTGGGTACATGGCCTATTTATAGGCCTCAACACCACATTCATGTTTTATGTAGAAGATTCTAGAGATATCTATTTTTAGAGTTTTCTACCTATATGTAATTATCTACATAATTCTAGAATTTGTATCTAGTAGTTACTAGCATATACTTATATATTTTTCTAGAATATTCTAGTTTATTCTAGAAGTTTATATCACATTTTAACACTCCTCCTTGATACAAAATTATTTAACTCCTACCATAGTGCGAAACTGTTCGAATCTTGCTCTCTGTAGTGCCTTTTTTTGCGTCACAAGAGCTATTAGAGCTCTAATTGTATCTAGGCGTGCTACTAGGGCAAATATCTCATTGTAGTCAACTCCAGGTTGTTGTAAATAGCCCTTAGCTACCAACCTTGCCTTGTGCTTTGGTATGGTGCCGTCCGGATTGAGCTTTGTCTTATAAACCCATTTTACCCCGATGATATCTTTGTCTTTTGGACAGTCTACTAGATCTCATGTGTTATTTTTCTTAATCATTTTTATCTCTTCTTCCATAGCCTTGACCCATACTTAGTTGCTTTGATGCTGCTTCAAAGCTTTCAGGTTCAAGTATGGTCAAGTTGCAGGTTTCATATATATATCCACCAAGGATCTAACTCGTCTTGGAGTAGACTCTAGTGATGGAGTTTTTTGTTGTGGAGGAGAATAAGGCTCACCTAGGACTTCTGTAGTTTCTTCTTCTGGTTGCTGAATTCAGATAGGAATGTTTTTCTCTACTTTCTCATCATTCTAATTCCAAGCCGTATTTTCATCAACTTCAACATCTCGGCTTAGCTTCTTGGTTTACAAGTTGTAGACTCGGTAGCCTTTTGACTGTGTTCTATATCCAAGGAAGATACCTCATACTGTCTTGTCTTCTAGCTTGTGCCTTTTCTCTTCTGGAACATGTATGTAGCAAATAGATCCAAATACCCTTAGGTGTTTTGCTGATGGTTTTTTTTCGCTCCAGGCTTCAATCGGAGTCTTATCTTGGCCTGCCTTAGTTGGACATCTATTAAGTATGTAGATAGCAGTATAAACTACTTCAGCCCAAAACGTGTTTCCTGTTTACAAAACTAATAATCCCTTTTCTCTCAATCTCTAAGTCTCTCAGTGTGTTTGTTTCTACATTGGACGTTTGTAACTCTCTAAGTGTCTGCACATTACACGTTTGAGGTTAGTTTCTTGTCTACGCAAATTTTTTTTATTTTCTGCTATTTATTCATCTGGAACGGGCCATTCTGCTTGCAGAATGGGTCGTTCTGCTTGCAGAACGGGCCGTTCTCCTTGCAGAACGGCCCAAAGGATGAAACCGGAACGGCCCGTTCTGAAACCGGAACGACCTGTTCTGGTTGCACTTTTGGTGTGTTAATTTTGTACCTGAAACGGGCCATTCCGGTTGCAAAATTAACGCACAAAAAATGCAACCAGAACGGCCCGTGCCGGTTTCAGAACGAGCCGTTCTAGGTCCAAGTGTTTCAAAAAAAAATTGTGATCCACGTGGCATCCACGTATACATCTACGTGGCATCCACGTATGCATCTTCGTGGCATCCACGTGACCAAAAGTTAACTCCGTTTAAATAATTTGGACGGAAGTCCCACATTGAAACCAATTAATTAATGTGGGACTAAATTGAAATCAATTAATTAGTTTGAGATCAAATTGAAATAAAAAATAAAAGTGAGACTAAATTGAAACAAATAATTAATATAAGAGACCAAAATAGGGTTTTTGCCTAATTATTATTAGATTTATGATATCACTTTCAATCGAAATGTTATAAGATCAGCCATAAATAAACAAATATTGTGAATTTCACGTCCGAAATATTCCGTTCTCAATGTGTTGAAGAACCCATGTACATTCTAAAATGTGTAGATCACGGTAAATATGTATCATTGACGAATTATGAAATTTATTCGATCATTTTAAACATCTATTCTTATTCAAATTGAAGAAATATGGCGATCAGTATAATTCAGACAAACCATTACAGAACTCGTTATTTTATTAAAATAAATTTTTATACACTAATTCTATGATTGCAATTGCGAAGGGAAATGGTTCATTTATTTCTATGAAAGCATTATGATCAAGCATACTATTTTCTTTTAACATGAAAAAATAATTTGATACTTGGAAGCCGGGGAGAGTTAGAAATTTAATTGAAAAATAAGAAATGAAAATTGTCACCGCAATCATCCTCACCGTAGATTTGGCGTCATACTCGATAGAACATCTTTTAGAACTATCATGACAAAATACAAAATGGGACATTCAACAGCACCGACAGTAATTTTCTAATATTTTTCAGCGGTGAAAGCATTTTGGTGCATGCACATTATTGACCGTTATTTTTTTCTTTCGAAGATTTTATTTCTTTTCCCTCAAACAAGGTTCATGAGATGCACTCTGAGTCTCTAACTCTAAGTAATTATTAGGGCAGCACCAAGCTCAGTAAAAGCTTATATAATAACTGATATAGCTGTATATAGTGATAGCTGCTTGGAAAGAAAAGAACCAAACATCTTTGTATCGGTGTAGTAAAGGGAAGCAAAAAAAGTAATGGTGTATGCAACAAATCAGTTTGCCAGTGGCACACATACTCCTCATTTTTCCAACTGCATGTATATTATCAAGTATTTCTCCCTACTGTTATCACAAATTATTCGTTCATCTTTCTGAATTTCTTTTGCTTTAATTTTTTTTTTTCTGCTTTTGATGAACATAGCATCCCTTTTCCACTTTTATCACTTTTATGATACTGAGATCCTCCTAGAGTAATATTTCTGCTTGAGGGTTCTGCAGAGGGCTTGGATTGAATTCCTTTGGTTCAACCTACATGGGGATGAATATTGTCTCTGGTTTAACCTATTTTAGATAAATAATATCGTTTATTTTACAACGTTTGCACAACTTTTGAAAAATAAACAATTATTTTTCAATAAAAATTTGCTCCCAAGTATGCATTAAGTCAAAGAAATTGTTAAAGCTAATATTTGAACTTCACTACAGAGTAAGGTAACAACTAAATAATAAATTAACGAAAGAATATAATGAATCATCTACACATAAGAACCCTCCATATAAGTATCCCTGCACCTTTGGTGCTTGTTTGCTTACATTCTGCGACCGTCTAGAATCTTCTGTAATTCTTGGGGCTGACAAGGGATTGCAAGTGCACCCTTTTGCCTGAAACCAAACTCTTCCCGAGCTTGATCCAACAATCCCAAGAAAGCAGGATCATTCAAGTAATGCAACCCGACTATGAACCTTTTGGATTCTCCACCCTTGGTTGCAAGAACAGCAAAATATCCTTCCCTTACATCATCTGGCACCTCACTTGTGGCTTCATTCAAGTACCGCAATGAGGATCTTCTGTGTGCAAAGAGTGAAACACCCTTTTCTATTTTCCCAACAAAAGACCTAAGCATCTTCGACTCTGAATGCTAATTTTTTCTTCTTGATGTATATATAGGATATATAGTGAATTAATGAGTAACTGAAAGCTTCTAACTTTTGAGCTTGAGGTGAGGGCTCTGATAAGTTTGACTATTTATACCGAGAACAAGCTGAAACCAACACGAAATATATTGATTCTATGTGAGAAGCCACTAGCATGTGGCATGTGTCATGTGTTGTAGGCAGTGTAGCCATTACAGATACATTGCATGATTTTGACAGGTCAATTATTCATTTCATACGCGCTAAGCAGCTTTTATGGTTTAGGAAGGGCCAACAATTTGTTGTCCTTAATCCTTATATCTTATTGTTACTGTTTATATAATGTATGGTTGTCTATAAAATCCGAAAATGTCCATGGTTTTCTGCTTTAAGTGAAGTTTTCTAACAGCCACAACTTTTAGTTTGGCTCATACCAAATATTGATTTTTTGATGAATCTTTCAGTGAAAGATTTGGAATGATTAATTGAATGTTCATAGAACAGAACTTCCAAACCAGGCGCAAAGTCTCTGCTGGTTGATGGGATTTGTGTTGCTTGCTTTGTACGTGTGGAAATAAGCGGAGGGGGTACAAATATTGACGGTTTGTTATGGACATTAGGCGCAGAAATATATATACATGGTAAGTATACAATGAAATTAAGTGGGGGTCCTCTATTAGAATGAAAATAGTTATCTCATGCTTTAGGTTAAAATAGTTAATAGAATAAATGACTAAAATTAAAACACAAAACTTAAAACTAAAGTTGTCATTCCCCTTTACTAATTAATGACACCATTATAATCTTAACTTTATCATTGTCACTTTGGGGGCATTATTACTTCTGTTTTTATCATTATATTATTATTATTATTATTATTATTATTATTATTATTATTATTACTTCGTTATCATTATTATTGCTAATAATTTATTTGTATACATTTAAAAGATCAAATCACATTAAAAACAATTATTATATAATTAAGTAATTTTATTAATGATTATATAGTTTTTTTAGTTCAATCATTGTTTTTTGGCAAAAATATATTTTTTTGTCTCTTATATTATTTATTAGTATTAATTTAGTTTCACTTTAATTAATTGAACCAATTTAGTCTCACATCTTTATAATGTATCACAATGTTTGATTTTCTGTTTTTTCCATTTAAATACTTAATGGATTTAACACGTGTAATGACACGTGTCATGCTATCATGTCATGTGTCATGTTGTCATGCCACGTGTCATGTCATCATGACATGTGGCATGTCATCATGCCACGTGTCATGATATCTAGCTATGTGGCATGACAGCATGACACGTGGCATGCCACATGTTATATCTGTTAAGAGCAACTTTAATGGGAGTTGTTTGTCCCATGAAGCAACTCAAATCCCGGTTTCTTGCCATTAGAGGACTCTGACGTGGCAACATGATCAGTTGCTTGAAGAAGAGAGAGAATTGCTTCCTCAAGCAACCGTTCCTTACCAGATTTCAAGCAGATTTTATTAAACATATTTGGGAACATTTCAGAAATAATAATGATGCAAATTAATTTCGTATAATGTTTATATATTTACTATTGATTTATTTTATTTTTAATATCTACTTATTGTGTATTTTTTCTCGTAATTTATTTTCTTTCATTGTAGTGCAATTATCTTTTTTAATAAAAATTTAAATTTGGTCATAAATGATTAGAAAAAAATTCTAAAAGTTGAATTTCTTAAGGTTTCTTATTATTGGAGTAAATTTGTGTTTGAGTTGTTTAATGTTGATATGGCACACTAGGGATCACTTGTTTCATTTTTCAATACATGAACCAACTCAAATGAGTTACTTCCATTGGAGATGCCCTAAGTATTTAAATAGAGGAGACGAAAATCAAATATTGAGATACATTTTAAAGATGTGGGACTGAATTGATTAATTCAATTAATTAAAGTGAGACTAAATTGAATCTAATAAATAATATAAGGGACGAAAAATATATTTTTGCCTTGTTTTTTTTCTATAAGTTGAGTTTGACTGATCTTCATTCAACTCCAAATGTAAAAACATTTAATAGTTCAACATATTCTTAAGATAGATCGCTTTCATAAAAATGTAACCTATGAAAGTAATTAAGTTAATTGATGCATTTAATATTCATTAAGATAATAAAGAGGACAATTAATATATGATAAATACCATTAAATTATCGAATAATTTCTTGTTATGTATATTATTCGATAAATAATGGATAACACAAAAAATAACATCAAATTTATTATAATACTTTTTTTATTATTAATTATCATAATAAATTATTATTATTATTATTATTATATTAATAAAAATATGATGGTGAGAATTGTAATAACTATAAATTAATAATAATAGTAATAATAATAATAATTGACAATAACAATGATAATAATAAAAATACAGTGTGAGTGAAAAAAATGATAATAATAAATTGTAACAACAATAAGAATAAGTGATGATAAAAAAATTAGTGTTACAATAAATAAAGATTGAAATGATATTAGTACAATAATATAATTTTTTTTTTCTTTTTGTATTTGGAACAAAAATTTGTTCCATAGTTTTTCTTGAATAATAAAAAGTATTTTATTCTATCATTTTTTTTTGTCTTATCCCATGATTACTTTTTTTTTTTTAAATCAAACAAACAATTATAATTTTTATAATGTCCAATACCATAAACTGTAGTGAATCAATGGCACCCAATTTCCAATACTTTGGCTTTCCTCTTAATTAAGAATAATAAACAACTTAGAACTGAACATAATGACTCAAGATTTCCTAGTTAAAAATTTCTCATATAAATATATTAGATTTTGATCGAATTGAAAATTGTAACATCGAAATAACTCCTCCACTCTAAAACAAATTATAAAGTATATTAATACTGATTTTTGTGAAGAATAACATATTATTCTGATCAAGAATATATGTTTTATTTCTACAAATAAAATTTTACGGAAAAAATTATTTCTACCTCTTTGAAACTGAGAACTTTATTCTAACATATTCTTAACTTATTATAATATTTATAGGAATATTTTTGTTCTCTTCGACAAATCATTTATTATTATTATTATTATTCTTATGCTACTTTTACAAGAATGTTAAAATATTTTCATCCATATGTCACTATTTGTGGTGGAATTTATTTGTGAATTCTTTTTATTTGAACTAGCACGAAATCGTTTTAATTTAGGTATTTTATAGTAAAGTGGTTAAACTTTCTTAAGAACGAAAATAGATGAGACATAACTGATTAATAAATGTATGTTTCCAAATTTTTATGAATGATGATTAAACAATAATTTGCATGCATGTAGATACTTACGTGAACAGAATGGACAATCAATATATTGGCAATACAAATCATTGTCTAATTAGCATAATGATCAGGTTACATGATTAAAGTCAAACAATCTACAACTACGGAATTAAAAGAAGAAATTACACTAATCCTAGAAAAAGAAAAGAAATGTGGTCAAGAATTTGCCATACCCAGCAATTCCATGCACGAAAGCCATATGCGCAGGCAGTGAGTGCTTGTAGAGTGCAAGTATGAATTTTCCGACCTCTTGTGAAGGTACCTATTTCTAGTATTTATAGAATTTAATTGAGGACGGTTAATCCTTTGCAAGTACGTCGTGGATGAGTAACTGCTATCCACTACCCTCAATGACGTGTAATTTCTCAACCGTTCACCCACGTTCTTCAACTCTAATCTTCAAACCTTTGTCCAAATACCTACTTTGGTACAACTGCTCAAAAACTGCCCATAACTCCTTCTTTGTGTTCTCGATCAATCTTCAAACAAGATTTTTGGTAACTACCTTAGTGTAACTGCTTAACTACTCAGAGAACCCTTCACCTCTTACATTTTTCGACCAATTCTCGAGTTCGTACATTTAAGACTTCTAATACTTTCTTGGTAGGTACCTATTTGTTTGTATTTCTTTCGAGTAGCTAAAAAAATGTAGCTTTTGAGTGATATAGTTCTCGAGTAGCCCTAACAAATGCCCCCTAGGAATTTAGTTTCGATGAACATACTGGGGTGAAGGAGAACTGAATTCCTATCGAGAATCTTTCTCATTTCTTTCTCGAATTTTCTCGCTTGATAACAACTAGTGCCTTGTATTCCTTCGACGAAAACCTACTTCTGATCACCAATTGAATGTAATTACTGTTTGATTTGACATTGATTGCTCTTATGAATTTTGATGGCGCATGCTTATGTTTCCCCAAAATTCTATCTGTGAAAAATGTCTTGGCGGCTGATTTGAATTTGATTTGAATTAATATGTGGACCCGTTTTACCCCAGGCCCATTTATCTTGTTTAAAACTCTTTTACCCTAAGGTAAAAATCACTTTCACCACTTCCTTCGTGCACAAGTTTCTTCCTGCTCCTTCTTTGCATTGTCTGGTTCCTTGCTTTGCTTCTTTGTTTCTTGTTGCTTCTTGGTCTTCTTCTCCAGCCTTGCATTCTTTCCTTCTACTCTTGCATCCAAAAGTTCTTGTCTTTCATTCCCATGGCTTCCTCCGCTGCATCAACCTCTACAACCGCCTCCGCTCTTTCTCCTACAATGGCCTCTGCATCATCCACCCAAGCCGCTCCTCTACTGACCACTAATGCTACGGTTTGCACCGTGAAAGATGGAGATGAGACCTTCGTCCCTATTCCAGGCATGGAAGAGGCAAGTCTCAAGATTTTCCAGTCACAGGTACTTCTCCCTTTCTCCCTTGAAGATGGCACTATTCACGCTTTCTTAGGTCCGTTTATGGGTCAAAATAAGAAACAATTTGGTAATACCTTGTTTCCTGATGACTCTTCTACCTTCCCTTTTATTCACTCTGCCAAAATAGACTTGTCCTTGTTTGGAGACACCACTAAGATCTTTAGGGCATTTCCCCCATGAAAGATAGGCATTTACAATGGTTAACACGCGTAGAAGGTTCTATGCGT